CATCGATGGAGGTGCAGATTCCTCTCTCCTCAGGAAGGCCTCAAACCATTCTAGTGCCTTACCCTGGGCCCTGCCGCCACAGCAGTACCCACGGGCAACGGTGTTGAATGCTGCAGAGGGGCCCAGGGGGATGGGAGGTGAGCTGGTTACAGGAATATGCAGGTAAGTCAGCTCTGTTATTTACCCAGCGTCATGCACGACCACAACACTAGCGCCAGGCGTGGATGAGTTGGGCTCAGGGCCGAGGAACTGCTGGCGGAAGCTGAAACCCAGCAAGACGGAGGTGCCGCTGGCGGGCAGAGGAAAGCACTTTGAAGAGTTTGCAGCCATGGCATAGTCCCCGTTAGTGGAAAGTTCATGCCCACAATTGGTTGGTTCAGTCTGTAGTTTAGGGGGCCCCTAGATTCCTCTTTGGAGCTGAACTCTCACATAACAGCACTCACAAGTAAAGCTTTTTACCCGCTCTGGCTGGCTAGGAGATGCCAGTGACCTGGGCCTGGTTAGACAAGCCTGCGTCACCTCCCAGGGGACTACAGCAACGCAACATCACTGGGCGTGAAGCCACCACTTTAGGAAACTCCAGCTGCTACGGAAGACTGCAAAGCATCTCCCCACCACTGCGAGCCCAGCAGGTCTGTCCTTGGCTCTCTGCACTGGCTTCCCATAGCCTGCAAATCAAGTTGAAGGTTTCAATCCTTGTCTTCAAGGTACTCAATGATCTGGGTGCAGGATGGGAAGAGATCCCTTATGTCTCTGGGAGGAGGAGAATGCTACTCCCCTGGCACAATGGGCCTCTCTACAATAAGGGTACAGCTCATCTGTTCCTGGGGCCAGTCCTGTGCCATGAACATCCCCAGACAGCAGCGGGGGCAATGCCTGTGTCAACTTGTGAAGTGTTCTGTGCCAGGGCTGAAATATTGGCACTGTCACTACTTGAGACCTGCCCAGCCTGTTGGGTTGCAGTCTAGATGGCTGCCCTGCCAGGGAAAGGTATTTAACACCTTCGAGGGACCAGTAGTAAGAGCCCTCCTGAAGAATGCAGGGGGGGGCATCCACTCTCTATAACTCTCAACCAGTGGCCCACCCCCATGGAACAACAGGGGCCCATACAAGGGCCCAGAAGGGAGAGGGAACTTCAGCGTGGGAGCACACGGCACAGAGCTGGTGGCCCCGTTAAGAGTGGGGTTCTGCTGGCAGGCTGTGGCCGCCTCATGCGAGAGGGCAGAAGGGACTCTCTGCCTAGTGGGATTCACTCACAAGCCAGGAGGGTGAGCTCTGCAGGAGGGGCGGATGTCTCAGGCCTTCTGTTGTTTTCAATATTCCAGGGCTTTCTGGGTAAAGCTGCCGGGTAAAGAAATCCCTTTGCTGAGGCTGTGTGCCTTGCTTTCCCGGGGTCAAACTAGGTGCCCCCTGTGACGTTAGGAGTGTAATATAATATCTCATTGAAAGGTGACAGGGCCAGAAAGAGTTAATTACCTCACAGACTGACCTGACCCATGGCCGAACTTTAGAGACTGGTTAGGAAGATCTGTAAATGAATAGAGCTTGGAAATGCAGAGATAGGATAGATGTTTGCTCAGGTCTTGTGATGTAAGCAAACAAGTCTTGTCTATTGATATAGATTTGATTCAAGGATCAAAAAAGGAATAGTAATGTTTAGGAAGACACTTGAGTGAAATAGTATTATTGTCTCTGTCTCTTTGAAGATTGTGGTAACCTGTATCTGAACTGTTGAATGGATAAATTACCCTGTGCTAATTGCCATGATATTTGGGAGAGGAAAGTTGAACCTATTGTCGTCTCAGGCCAAGAGACTGCTGGAAATGTATAAGAACCCCTGGGACACGATCCTTCTGCATCTCAGATCTGCTTTGGGTTTCAAGAAGGGGAAACCTTAAGCCACAAGAAGTGAGATCCCCAGTCACTGACTGGAGTCACCCTGAATATGGACATTGGACTATCCTATGGACTATTTCTAAAAGGACTTTTGGCAACTACAAACTCACCATTTCTGCTATGTAACTGGACCTCAAGAAATTGAACTCAAGTCTGTATGTATATTGATCTTTTAACCAACACTCTCTCTTTTCTTTTTTAAAACATTTTAGCTTAGTTAATAAGAACTGGCTATTAGCGTGTATTTTGGGTAAGATCTAAGATATCATTTGACCTGGGTGTGTGGCTGATCCTTTGGGAGTGGGAGAACCTTTTATTTGATATGATGAAATAAGATTTTCAGAATTTATCATCCTATATTTGACGCGTGTCTGGACGGAGGCTTGAGGCTGGGTACTTTAAGGGAACTGCGTTGTTTGGACTTCTGAGTAACCAATGAGGTAATACACCGGCTGGTTTTTGC